CAGCAAATTTTATTGTAACTGAAGGTTCCTTAAAATTAATTGATTTTGGTATAGCAAGAACTATACAGAATGATACTACGAACATCCATCGAGAACAACAGGTATATAATTTAATACTAAAATGGATGTTATTAAGTTTTTTTACTTGATCAAGTTTTTATTGTTAATTTTTTTTTTTAGGTTGGAACAATAAATTATATGTCACCAGAAGCTATTCAGGATTTAAATGCTAATAATCAATCTGAGGAAAAAAAATTAATAAAAGTAAGTTGATATCACTTTTCTTTGAAGCAATCTATGAATATATAATGATTTTATTGTACATTTTTTTATTTGATATAGTTGGGACGTGCAAGTGACGTTTGGTCTTTAGGCTGCATCCTTTATCAACTAGTTTATGGTCGTACTCCATTTGCCCATTTAAATATGTATCAAAAGTTCAAATGTATTCCTGATCCAGACTATCATATCGAGTTTCCTCCGACATCCAGTCTGATATATAATGGTAATCAAGCACTTTTAACTGATGAAAACAATCCAAACCAAGAAATTCCGGTCGATGAAAATTTGCTAAGAATCATGAAAAGTTGTTTACAAAGAAATCCTAAAGATCGAGCTACAATTCCAGAATTATTGTCTGATCCTTTTCTTTGTGGGCCATATGTACGAGGTAATTGTCAACATTTTTTGGTTTAAATATATGTTATTTATTGATAAGACTGTCCATATATATATATTTTCTTACTTACTGTTGTCTCAAACTGTTTTAATAATGAATAACTAATTTTTTAGTATCAGAACAAATATTAAATAATTTGATCCGTGAAATAATTAAGTATACCAAAAAGGCTAATATTGCTAATGACTCACATGAACAAATAACTATGATCGCGAAGGTTAGTATTAATATTTGCTTTTACATTAAATATTTGAACTAATCTTTTTTGTTGTACTAGTCAATTTTCACCCAACTCCGTAATAAAGAGCTGATAAGTTGTGAAAAATGGGGAAATAAATAAAATTGCTTGGTTTATCAAGAAAAGGAAACTCGGTAATGTTATAATGATTGTTTTAACTTTTTTATTTTTATTTTCTTAAATCGATTGTACATTAATAGAAAATGACTTGATCGTCAGGAATAAATAATAAATATATAGTTTACTCATTTTTTAATTGTATAATATGGTTTATTATTATAAATTGATTAATAAAAGGGTATACAATTGGTTTTACTCGCTTATGCCTTCTTATATTGCACTGTAAAATGATATATATATACTGTATGGTAATAAATAAACAGTTTCCTGGTCCTTCAAAGAGTGTCATTCTTGATCTATGATTTATCGAAACTTAATTTGTTGCCAAAATTATCAAACCGCGAATTTATTATTTGCACGAATTAGCCGACGAAATTTAAGAACGAATGTCTGAACCTACTGTATCTTGGTGCATTATGAAAAAAAAAAAATGGGTGTATGATTTTACTTATAGGGATCTCCATATGAGCCTTAATTTAATTAAAACTACCCAAATTTCTTAATAAAATTTTCTAAAACAGTAA